GTCAAGGAAGAGGATATTGCTCGTGGCACTTTGTACCCCTGTCTCACTCGTATTCGCGAACTCTCGCACGACATTGCGGTGGCGTGTATCAAGGAAGCCTTTGATCTCGGCATTGCTTGCATTGAGTAAGTTTACCGCTTCTCTTCTCTTTGATTTCCCTGTTTAGGCGTCCGGCCGATCTTGACAAGTTGGTGTGGGACCATATGTGGAAGCCCGAATACGCCCATACCGAGCTCGACCCGACGGTATTCGCCTTCTCTGGTCAAGGCTCAGGTAGCTGTCAGAGCAGGAATAGGCTGAATGTTGGTACTACACAGAGCAAGGCTTTCTCCTTCACTGATATGGAGCGTATTAACCCCAGTCAGTTTATGTAGACATTTTCAGTGACGATTTGATGTTTAACAGGACGTTCTTCTGTTACACTCTGCTGATCGAACTCGGGCTTCAGTCGCTTTGGTGGCCTCAATAGTGGTGTTGTTGCATTCATGGTCATCTCGCAACCTCACGATTAGATCTTATGGAGGCTTCCCTTCTACCGACTGGTAGCCACACGACAACTTCTCTTTGCCGTTCGTTGCTGCCTATTCGGCGGCGACTGGGAACTTTTGATTTTATTGGTATTTTTTCAAGCAAATTTTACTGATAGTAGTCTGGTGATGTGTGTCAACTTTATTGCTTTTGCAATGTGATTTGTTGTTGAGTGTGTCAATTAGCGTCGGGATGAAATGACATCATCTGCTTTGTAGATGGTCAGTGATAGAGCTGCAAGGCTACTTTCCATGCCCGCCTACTGTCTCGCTCTAGCGGAGCTATACCATCGGCTTAGTGTCTCGCTATAGGTTCACTGTCGGAGTAAACCTTATCGAAGGAGTCGTACACTGTGTCATCGATTCATCTGGATTCCTCGATAGGACCTAGCTCAAGATCTTTTATACTTACAGACTAACAGTATTCACTAGCTTTCTCATGCCACTGCTATTTGGACCGTGGGGTAACTCAGATAAGGTGGGTTCAAGCAACGTCGCGTCAGTCCCAGGGCGCCCTGATGGCCTCTTTCTCCTCGGTCTACTGGACGATCTCGTTGAAGATGCCATGTGGCAACCCAAGTACAGTCATGTCGAGCTGGGCCCGTCAATGACGGCTCATTCGAGTGGTGGAGCTACAGCTCCTCGCGAGGCTGGCGGCCCTGACAAGCAGAGATTGGCGGCCTCCTTCGGTGAGGGCACGTCTTTCTCTCTCTTTGTTGATGTCGAAAGGGTTAACTCCAACAGACTCTTATCTTTCTGAATGTAGTACCACACCATGAGAACTTTCTACCATGCTTATCATCAGCTGATTGAATTACCAACATTTCACCGACTTTTATCTCCATTATACGTTTCGAGTTGAAGTCACACACAGTGCCCGTCCCCATCGCCGCATATCAGTGGTTGCCATCATGACTATGTACGAGGCATCAGCTTCATGTCCCGTGGTCATCGACTGTGGGTCCAGCCAGACCCGGGCAGGCATGGCGGTCACTGGACGTCACATTAGGCCGGCAGTAGAGATACCAAGTAGTGATGGGCAATACTGTGAAGATGTGTGTCAGTTCTTTATTGAGAACTGCTAGCAGACTCGGTCATCGGGGGTGCTACGTGGGTGGTCAGGTGTAGTTGGTCGAAGGCGTACCAACGTCCCCCCTAGGAACTGCTGGTCCCAAGTCGATGGCTTCTTGGACTCTGGTCATCCACCCTCTTTTGGGTCTGATGCTGTAGTATCGGAATTTTTCACCCGGCTATCATCGTCCGTCTAGGTTACTCTAGTTCTAAGAGGAGAGCCGGTCCGGCTCACCTATCCTGTCAATGAAGGTGTTTACTCCGACATGGAAAGTGTTGGGAGTCTACTGGAGTATGTCTACCAGGAGTGCCTCAAAGTGAGCGCTGCAGAGCTCTCGACTCCCCCAGAATTTCTAACTGCATTTCCCGTCGCATCGCTGTTCTCTCACTCGACTGCATTAGGTTGATCCTAGAGAGCATCCGTTACTTCTGACTGAGCCAGTCTACAATCCGGCATCGACTCGAGAGAGGGCAGTAGGTGTTCGAGCTGCCTGTCACTACTGACCGTATCAAACATTCAGACTGAGATGCTCTTCGAAGAGTTGGGGATACCGAGTCTGAATATCTCAGTGAAGGAAGTGGCGGCCCTCGTCGGAACGGGTGAGTGGGCGAGTCTATAATGAGAGACAAGCCTTCCTCAGGCTGGCAAGATGGTATTGTAGTCGACGCTGGTGAGGCCATGACCAGCGTCGTGCCCATTTCTCACGGGTAGCTCGCGAGGGTCTATCGAGGACCCTATAGCCTTGAGTAGATGCGTCGTTACTAGTGGCATTCGTAAGCTCTACCTAGGGGGAGCAGACCTAGACGTCCAGCTGGCTGAGCGCCTCGCCAGACGTGCTGACCATATCCGACTAACGTCGACAAAGGACCGTCTCACAGTAGGGCTTAGTCCAGGGTTCCGACGTCGCAAAGGTGATGTTAGTTGAGACAGTTGAAGGAGAGTATGTGTTATTGCCGGCCTGGCTGGCATGATACGGATGACGACTTCGACGAGAATGGCTACTGTGCTGGTGGGGAGGACTCCCACATTACTCTGCCAGATGGCACCACCGTCGACATGGCGGACGATAAGTGGAAGGTCCCGAAAGCTCGGGATCAACAGTCGTAGTGTCATGAGGCACCGATCAGGTTCCTGAGTCGCTCTTCCACCCACATCTGTTGGGTATAGAAGGGAGCGGTATAGGGGATATGGTGGTCGAGTCTATCGAGGACTGTCCTATTGATGACAAGTTGAAGCTTTACAAGAAGATTATGCTCGCCGGTGAGCACGTCTAGTTGTCGTTCGAGTCGATCCTGAGATGTTCCCCAGGTGGAACTTCACAATTTCCTGGCTTCGCGGATCGGCTCCGGTCAGAAGTAGAACATTCAGTGAAGTACTCGCGGACTGCAACGTCGGGACGCAGTCATAATAGAAACCCTCAAGTCCGCCACTGTCCGATTAAACTCTCATCTTGTCTATGACGTCTCCAGGTTCACGTAGAGAGAGCCCATCGGCATCCCGAATGGGCGGCATGGATCGGTGGGAGCGCCTTCGCGTCACTGAAGGACAGTTTCGAGGATCGATGGCTCTCCCGTGAAGAGTGGGCATTGTTGTTGTTCTTCTCCTTGTTGTTGTTGTTGTTGTTGTTGTTGTTCTTGTTGTTGTTGTTGTTGCTGTTCAATTCTTGATGTTGGTGTTTCTCCACTCTTGTTGTTGTGCGCTTAGATACGAAGAATATGGTCCCGACTTGATAAACTCTAAAGTACAGATATCTTTCATGCCTCACCAGCAGCAACAGTAGCAGTGAGCCTGACAATGCAGTTATCATCTTATTTGATTCGTTTGCTGCTAGAAGTACATTAACGCCACATTTTTATACTATTAGTACTATAGCAAAATCCCCATGCTGCAACCAACTTGGGTTTGTTCACAGCTTCGGAGTATAATTACCAAATGCCTGAGACCAGCACAATGATCTTCCATCGGTGTCAGCAGTCCTCTTGAGTTCTCACACGAGCCGCATACCATGTCCTGGGAGCAACCTCTGTTGCCATCGCAGTTACCGTGCTTTCGAAACATGCCTTCGACCCATCTAGGTCGAGTACTAGGGCTGATCCTTCGGCTCGTGGGTTTTCAATGTTGTCAGTCTTGTGGGGTAGGTTGTTCACGGCTGCCCTGGTCTCGGCAGTCCTCATTGGAATCAAGGAAGAATCATTCAGAAGAATGACGTCTAGCTTCTATGGAGTGTATTCACTATCAGCATGTGCTCGGCTTTCATGAGTTGTTCCTGTGGGCCTTCGACTGGCACCCAGTCGAACCCCCTCAACAGGCGCGGAAGGCGAGCTCTTTGATGGTGGCCAGTCCTGTTCACTATGACTCATGAACATGCATTCCGTGATTGAATAAGCCGTTGTTCTACCTACGTACATGCCTTGAGATTCGCCTCAGTATTGTCATGGCGGACTCTGGGATATCTCAGTACATCAATCCAGCAGAGTCGCAGTGTCAGTTAATTCATCTAAGAAACTGTGGATGATAACACTATGACCACTCAATGACCACTCCTGTGGTCTTTGGTTGAAACTGACATTTCTACACTAACGAGGTATAAGCATGAGTCCATCAAGCATAGTTGGGATGATACTACTCAACATTCTCCCAAAACACATCCGAGACCATCACCTGGTTCATGTTACATCGAACTTTACACGATGGTTATTGAAATATTCAACTCCTGACTGCGTGGATAGGGTGGTCCTGAAGTCGCGCGAGTTGTAATTTCGTGAGCATCCGGATACTAGGTTGACTCTCGCGAAGCATATCGGCAATGTGGCCCTCCGTCAATGTGGAGCGGTGATGGGGAAGAAGCAAGGTCTCTCTGATAGTGTGTTCGTGGAAATTTATAGGAAGATTGTCCTTGCTATCATCCTCCACGCACATGAGGTCTGGGGTAAAGTGATCGCGAGTAAAAGTGTTAGAGATGATATTGACCTCGTCGGCTCGGGCTTCTTGAGGAAAGCTCTCAGAGTGAGAAGTACGCCTCGGGCGTTACTCTATAT